TGCCACCCTTGTGTCCATTAGAATTGATGACCACGGACCTCTCCAACGCTCTGTTATAATTACTCAAGGTTATTCCTGGTCGTTTCGTGGCCTGAATTTCACGTGGTCACACTTACACATTGACTCAGAAACACTTAGGCATAAATGTACTCAAATTAACGTAAAAATGTACTAATCTTATCACTCTATTTATGTCTGTATATTTCTATTTATTCAATCTTTATTTTGTTCTTGTAGTGCGTACATGTAGCATGTAAGGAAGAGCCAGTCAAAAGTATTGGTCTAATGTTGATCTGAAGACTTTATAAGAACATGATCTGGCTCTGATAATGTCTATCAATTTACGTCAAGGACAGCAGCTCCACCAATTTTCGCTTAAAACGAAGCATAACGTCGTGTGGGCCACGTCAACTTGAGTGTTACTGCAGTCTCAGATAAAATTCCGCGAAGCAAGAATCTGCTATCATTTTTTGGTGGATCGAACAATGGATATTTTCATCAGACACCCTCACGTGAAATGGAGGTCATCATAGCATTTTAGGAAACTTTATGCACATCCGCTTGATTGTAAATTTTCCATATCTTGAAATGTATTTGCATTTATAAAATTCTACTGGATCTCCTGTACAAGCCAGTGTGTTTTTGTATAAATTATTTTTTTCTCATAAACTTTACACTTTATTTTTTATATTTTCTGCTTTTTTTCGTGGCTCGCTAGTTGAAGCCTCTCCACTCATCGCATCTCCACGAAAGTTACATTGTGATCCCCGAATCAACAACTCTCTGCCCGAAGAGGCGGAGGCTAAGGTAGAAGAGGCAAAGAACACACTGGAAGTAGAAGACCGTCCAGGAGCCATAGGATCTGTCAGTGATCAATGTACAGCTCCATTAGCTAGTCACGAGGACTCTTGGAATTCAAGTAGCCCTGGTTTCAGACAGCCTGTGACAAATCCTGCCACTATATCCAGTTTCATGCCACCATTTGTGCACGACTTAGCCCCACCTTTAGTACCAACTCGGCATACGACCGGGGCCGGAGTCCGTGGTGTCCAGACCCTCGCGTCAAGGCAAACTCCATCCGAGGCGTCTCAGGTAGACCAATCACTACTCAAAATGTGTATCAACATAGCTGCTTTGACCTTATATTTGCGGTTTGGCCATGTTTGCAGAAAGATCATACTTTTACTATCGCAGGAATGAGTTTTTTTCAGGCTAGGACGTGTGATAGGGTTTATTCTCAAATATTCATACCACATCGGAGTTAGCATAGTCAGGAAAAAGACCAAACTTTCAACCAAGCCACAACTGGGCGAGAGGAAAATCCCACACATTTCAAGTCACTATAAGACTCATTACGTGATCACCATCATTATCACCAACGTCAGGGGTTTTGTTTGCCATCTGATCCCGCCACCTTGTATCAGCCAATTATAGAAGGCCAGTTTACTAACCATAATTTTACCATGATTGCGAGGCTCAAGAGGAAATTCGCTCATGAACTATCTACAAGTAGCCACATTTTCTTACAAATATCAGGGTTACTACTATGCACATAGTTAGCTCACTTATACTTTATTTGGTGAGGTACTTTTTTCATTTATTATATTGTTAATTTCTAATTAAATATAATAATATATATCTGCTTTGTTTTAAATTTGGATAGCTGGAAGAATTTCCTGAACTTAAGACAAAGTCGGGCCCAAATATCAATGAGGCTTCTTACCTGCTGCACACTCCGCCGCCTGTACCTCCATTTTCGTCGCAAGTTTCCAACATTTCCCTGAATCACCCAGGACCCGTGGTGCCTCCGCGTAACAACCCGCCGCCGCAACTGCCACCCATACCCTGGCCACCAGTTCAGACGCCTTCTCTTTCCCATTTGGTATCTATTAATGGCTCAAGTAATACAGTGTCAAGCAGAGATTCCGCCTCAGGAGAACCATGGAGATCGAGCCTTCTTGCGATGAGGTCTTCAGACCTGATATCAAGTGGCTCCGAAGGCTATCTGGAGCCAAAGCGAACTCGACTGCCTGGGCATGAGGAGGAGAACGAAGAGCACATCATGGATCTCCAACTCGATCCCATCAGTTTTACCAACGGTGAGTGACTTGTTTGGGATAAAATTATATTTTTCATATTCGCGAAGCCAACCAATATTACTTCGAGATCTTTGAAATTAAAGGCAAACTGTAGCTTGCCTCCCAACTTCCACCCCAACCTTTACAGTCTTATGACCTCTGCGAAAGGAAGGGTGAAAGTAATTTTGGTAATGACAATTGTATTTTATCACAAGACGACTTCATACTTCAGCTTTTTAATCCTAGGGCTTTTGTCATCTTTTATATGAA